GGGGACTAAAGTTTTTCTTTGAATGAAGGTGCGTGGCGTTAACGAATACTCCAAAATCCTTTCGGATGTCTCCACAAATTTCTTCGGGGCTCCTAATCCCATTTCAAAAAAAGGGGGTGGGTAGCGATTCCGAAATTGTTTACCAGAATTTACTTTCGAAAATTTTGAAAGCTATTCTTATCATTTACAAGTATAAATGAATCGCTTGCACATTTCTATAACTCAAGTTTTTGATTTTCGAAAATTTCATTAGTCATTTGCGAGCCCCTGCGGTTCGCCCCTAAACAGCAATGATTTTCGCTGTATTTTCTTCCTCTCCTATCGAAATGAACGATCTTTTGGGATTATAGAAGCTTACGTCATAATTTTGGCGCAAAACTTATGAATCAACGTTATTCTAACATCTCGTTTCATTCATCGATTGGCACCGAATGGTAGCCGGTAACATTTTGGCCGAAATAAGGTGTAGCCGAAGTTGGAAACTAACACGCAAGCTGCTCGGATAAATCGCGAGAGAACCAACCGACGAGGAAATTTATCTTAGTTTGCAGTTAAAACTTCAAAAATTTTTCTTGGGCGTCATGATCGGGTTATCATGCCATACCAGCTGTTGCAATATTCGCACGCTAAGAACCTGTTCTATTTCAACAAAGCGGAAGTTACGTTTCGTTTCGGGCGGCGACTTGCGATGATATCGTCGGTCCTCAGCTGACTTCAGTCATCGCTGCCCTTCATGGCGATGGCGGTTTTTCCGTTCGCGACTCTGACCTCAATAGCCTCGGTAGATTGGATTATAGGCGTGAGGTTAGCCCGATTGCGCTATTATCTGTGTTGAACTTTTTTCTGATGTTCATCTCGACTAGTTTTCAATTTACCCCTTGCGCAAGGGTTCGAAAAACTTGCTGCCTTACCTGTTCGAATCATGACCAAAGAATATTATGGCTATTGTACAACACGATCAGGCGACTTATCCTGTTCTGACTTCAACAGTCAGTCCCTGCACATCGTCGTTCTTTCGACGTCGCAAATTTTCATCATCAGCCAGAATGTTGCCGTATGATGCTCTGTTTGAATTCTGTTCTCGACATTCGAACATGTTGGTCCCGTGATTGTTCTTATCATTAGAGCAAAGTCTTTGTATCTGACAATTCGTTCTTTAACTGGAGCTGAGAGTAGTGCAAATTAGAGTACAATCAAAGCACTTTAATTTGTCCTTATCTTCAGACGCTTCAGTGTTGATGATAGACCTCTGCTTATCAAAGTTTGGTGTTGTTTGCTCTTGAGTCTGATCAGTAAGCTTCTACATTGGTCTTATTAAATTGCAATCATTTTCCCTTATCTTTCGTTGTCGGGCTCTATAGACATCTCTTTCAAAGTCAGCTTGCGCTGCGCGTTGAAAGCTTGGATATATTTTTATCAAATCTGGTTTTTGTTGCAGCACAGCATGAATTCTGTCAGGTTTCTTACATAGACCCATTTACTTCGACATCGTTGTCTCCATAGGCTTGTGACGGTTCAATAATAAATCTCAATGAACTCAGTTTTTTTGAAATTCTAGCCTCACTTCATCTTTCTCTGGGAATTCATATTTTAGACCAAATTTTTGCTTAGTAACTATATCGTCCAATTTTCGCACTGCTTATCCGCATTATTCGTTCCTTCTTCTAATATGGTATCTTATCACATTATCCCGTTGTTCTGTCATAAAAAGCATTTTCACTTGATTACTTCAGACTGTTATCTGAGACATTGGTGTTACATGCATTCTTTGTTCTGCAATACATCAACGAAATTAAAGTTGCTGTTGGAACGCAGTTTTTATGCTGAACCCTTTCTACAGAGAATTCTCGCAATGCAATTAGGGTTCTGCAAGACAGTGGTACCCTATAGATTGCAAAGCGAGATGTGACTTGATTACTACATTTTTGGGGAGGATACCAAATGTTGTCTGAGGCTAAATTTTCAATCTAAACTCACTCTATCGCCTCAGATATGTGTCTGATAAGTAAATCATGAACTTTCTCCCAAAGTTTGCTCGGTGGCTACGCTATCTCTTATGCTGTGCTCAGCTCATTGATATCAGCCTAACAATTGCTCGATAGGAATAGTAATCAGTCAAACAGCCTATTGTACGCAATGTACATAGTGAACACACAATAGAACGCTTTTGCGCTTTTGTACTGGACGAGTTTTCGCTACTGCAAGCGATGCCTTCATCTGTAAACTAGCTTTTGGCATACGATCAAAACTCGCCGTTCGCCCCTCTATATTACATCGTTCTTTCGGACTACTCGATGTGTTCCACTCCCATAAACTCGTCCGCGAGTATACCTTGTGCGGGGGTGTGGTTACTTTTTCGGTCAAATATTTGAGCGTGAAAGCGAAACACTTAGATTTTGTGATTTTTACAGCTTCGTGTCTTCATCACATCTTCTTTTCTAGTCGCTGTGCTGAGCAAACACTCAATAGATGCGTTAACGCTCCTCCCGTCACTCGCACATCAAATCGTCAACCGGATTTCGCATGTTCTAACTTTTTCACTGAAATAAAAAGAAAATTAGCAATCCGCCACATCATCATGCTCATCGTGTGCGTCTTTTGGGAAGACGTTTTTTCATTTTTGCTTACGATTTTTACAAGTAAAATATTTTGATTTCTCTCCTGATAAAGCTCATTTTTGCCTGTTTTGATGATATTTTTTGCTATTTGTCGATACATGGCATCCCATCTCCCCTCTGTCCCTTGATTCGTAATAGAGTCCAAACGAACACGAATCGATTTTGCATTTGCAGAACAGCTGAAACCAAAAACCAAAAAATGCAATATGTTGCGAAACAGACAGCAAAGAGACGTGACACATTTTCTCAGAGAAATGCTGAATAATGCGCAGTATGATGACTGGGAAGTTCGCCGACTCTGTACCATTCTCTAGTATTTATAGCGTACCTCTATAACTTTTGACGACCGCTTTTCTTTATGCATAAGCATGCTCATCCACCCTTTCATCCTATTTTCTATTTCTGCATCCTGTATGAAAATTATTCTTCTCAGTATCTTTATCTCTCTGCTCAGTCGCAGTTTCTTTGAAAATCGTCTTGTATCGGTGAACGCATTTCACGTGGCAAGAGCAAACAATCGTTCTAACGATGTTTACTCAAGTTTCTTGACTGGATAAAATTCCAGAGTAATTGGTGTACAGCGAAACTATTTTTCCAGTTTTTGTTGGAGTACGGTTAAGGGGGGGGGGTAGTTTTTGTTACCCTATTTTTCTCATTTCTGCCTTCAGACAGTGTGCGGCTAAGTAATATTAGTGAATGAGAACCTTGATATTCATTCTTTTCATCATGCGATCTTTTAATAATACCTCAACATTTATAATACTACCTTTTCATGCTTTTGTCTTGCATTGTCCAGAAGTTTCATATTCAGAACGCTAACGAAGAATAGATTATAATCAGTGGTTTTTCAAGGAGTAAATAGCACTGTTTGTTCCCTGAACCTTGCATATGCTCAAAGTCAAGGCTACTTAGTATTTGTAGCCGTCACAATACCATTATGCACTGCTCGAGTATTGACTTTGCCTTTAAGACTCTGATATGCTGAAGAACTCAGTGAGCTATGCTCATTCAAATTACGCATGCACTAAGTGCTCTCCTTTGACCATTGCACCGCTTTATCACCTTGATTTTTCAACCATTTCTTTTGATGTGCCCTTGTCGTTTCGATAATTGCTCACTAATTGGACTTTTTGTTGTAAAGTTTAGTTAGATCAGATAATGTGTACCTTTTGATCGCTTTTTGTGTTCGCATGATTTGATCAGGTTTCAGTGTATCAAAAGTGCATTTTGGATAGCCTGTTATAGTCACTGCCCAAACAAGAACTTTCATTGGGTAACTTGTGTATCTTACGTGTTTTCCAATTGCGACAATGACTGTAGCCTACGTAGCGACTCGCCGCTTTGAGATTTTTTCAAAGTTATTTATCCATCAGTTACTATCTTGTCAGGAAAAAAGTGCAGCTGGTTGCATTGTTTCAAATATGAGTACTGCCATGTGTATGAGTTGTTTCGTTGTTTCAGAACTTTCTTCACATTTGTTTTGACGTAGTTTGCATCTGGCTTTCTCAAACAAGATCGCACAAACTTGTTATACCATATGTATTGCATTGAGATCACCGGCCAAATTTTCATAAACTAATGAGGCTACTATCATATTTATTAGAGCACGAAATTTCGAATCTATGATAATCTCTTTTTCTATTGAAGACAGAAGTGCAGTTGTGCCACTTTCACTCGTGAAATCTATCAGACCTTGCACTTCTACGAAGGTGGAAACTAAGCTGTTTGATGCTAGACTTGTAGATTGTTGAAATTGTAAATTTTTGTTTGCAGTGTTCAGAACAGTTTTTGTGTGCAGCGAAAGAATTTTTTCTTCGACTTCGAGCTTTGGTACCTTTCTCGATGTCTATTTATCCGGTATCTTACTGTGTTTTTTTAAATCTCTCAATCGATCTCTATCGCAGTACCTTCCTGTACAACGGTCGAGCACACGAGTCCTTAGTCATGGTTGTTTTGTAACTGCTTAGAGCCTAGTTTCAATTTTGCCATGTGTAGTCTAGGGGTTAGAGATCGCTTTATCAATTTGGTGCCGGTCAGTCGCGTTATCGCTTCTAGGCGCTCATTGCTCAGTCGTTAGTATTTACATGAGCATGGCATGAGCGCGGTATTAGTGCCACGTAGGCTACTCGTTTTAGAAATTTTCACTTTAAAGGGAACTCGTCAAAATATTAGCGCTGAAACCAATGTCCAGCGTCAAATTCGCCTTTCAACTTGACTCATCGTCCAGTTCTTTTTTTGATTTTTCCGGAACCAACATTTTGTGGTCTGCCTTCTCTTGTTTTCTTTTTTTTTTCTTCCTTTTCTTCTCACAAACACAAATGCTGTTTGCCTGATGTAAAGTGACGACTTCAATGACGACTGCTATCTTTGTTTTTTTTTCAGACCGCATCGAGTTCACATGGCCGACACACCGTCGGATGCACTATGGCGAATCGCTGCGTTCGCCATCATCATGCTTCTGTCTGGACGTGATCGATGGTGGATTGTGTTCGTGTTGTACTCGATCTATCGGCTAACACAAACGGAATGGTTTGATCGAATACGGCAAACGATACGGCGAGATTTGATGTGAGTATGCATTTAAAATACTGCATATATGCTTTTTTCATAATTCTTTGCTTCTTTTTTATATTTGGCTTTATTTTACTTTTTGCAAAATAGGTTTTATTGGGGTTTTGTAATCGCTGGGTCCTTAGCAAGGCTCCTGAGCTCACAGTTCTTTAATTGCCTAGCTGTTGAGTATGCTACTCAGGTTTTTTCTGACGGCCGATTTTTTCAGCATTATGTCAATATTCCAGAAAAGCGCATTCAGAATTTTTATCACCCAAAAGTTTCATTTTTATAATCGCCTGGGTTTCGTGTACATGCTTCAATCTTTATCTCTTCATAGGAATTTGCTATCACGCACACTTATCCAAATGAATCGTCAGTAATGTTGCGAAGACCTTCGTATAATTATCCACTATGTCTCTTCGAAAGCTATTAAGTTTGACATCTCGATAGGATTACCAACAAGCTTATTACTTGAATTTGCCACTCAAACTGACCCATTGTCATATTTTCCATCTCTTCCCAACCTTCCTTGTTTCAAATCTCAGTTATTGCTTATTGGTTAACAACCGCCGCAGTGATTGACTTTTCAGGGGACTTGCTCTGTTGATACGGGTAAAACTAGACTGTAGACGACGATTGAAGGCGAATCGTCCACTTCACGAAGTATTTCTAGAACAGGTGCGAAATGACCAAATTACTGCACGCTCACAGCTCTCAACGAGAACGTATTCAGGTACGGAAACATCCGCAAAAGGTTGCTTGCGTGGAAATCGAAACGGGTCGACGTGTCACTTTTGAAGAATTGAACAGAATTTTGAATAAGTATGCAAATTACTTTGATGTGAGTCATCTTTTCATGTGTCTTTCACGAATGTAGCGGTTTTTTTATCTACTTATTGTACTTTGACCGAAGTTATTGACTTGGTAGTAGATAAGATATGATACGGCGGCAGCATGGCAGTTTACGAACAGGGTGGCCTGTAAAAGAAAAAGTTTAGGGGTCTGTAGAGATATCGAGCAAAGGTCAAACTTTTTTTCAGAGTTTGGGATACAAGAAAGGCGACGTCGTAGCTATATTTATGGAAAATAGCATAGACTTCTTCGCTTTGTGGTTGGGATTGTCGAAGGTATGTTTGAAATGCTTATAAGCTCCACAGAGTCTTTCACACAGAGCTGAAATCAGAGATTTTTGACAGTCAAAATAAGAAATTAGAAGTAGGATACTAATTGATTAGTACTTGAACATTGCGCGAATTCCCCGCATAGTTCTCGCCTGACCATCCATTTTCGCGCTGAAAACACGATACGATTTCTCTAAGATTTCTTTACGTTGAAAATTCATGGTTGAGTGACTAGTATATGTCTCAAAAAACTATAAACTTGTCTCGGCTGGAACTCAGCCCTCGTTCCTTATCTTTCTTTTTAGCCGAAAACTACAAGAATTGGCTGACATTTTCTTTCGCTTCGATTATGATTGCAGTCAAGATTAAAAAGCGATTCTTGCACGATATACGTGCTGTTTTGCAAGATGACGCCGAAAAATCATGTATAATCATGAAAGGTACAAAAAGAGGAAATATGAGAGTCAGAAAGAGCAAAGTGTTGATTGAAACTTTTTTGAGGACTCTAAAAATGTACCGGTGCAGATAACGAATAAATTTGAGTTATTCGTTCTTTGACCATTTGTAGTGTTTGCTGCTAAGGTATATAGTGAATATCCTGACACAATATATGCCCGAGTGGTTACAGGTGATTTTTATCAAGCTTTAGAGGTACCGTCCACCCTAAATTAAGAAACCTTGATCTTGACCTTTTGGCAGCTAACGGTTAGAATCCCCTATCAAGCGCAAGTCTCCCCTCCCCCCTCTCCAGTAATGCCCGCCCATCCATGCGCGCTCGTCCAATCACCGTTCCGGAGAACCGGCCTGCGGGTTCTGGAACGGGGATTGTCGGGGTTTTCGCGGATTCTCGACTTCATGTTCGAAATCAGGGACGTTAGAAGGCCCCAGAACGATCAATATATGGAAGTCGAGAATATGGGTGCACGATGTTTTTTATTCTCAATCGCTGTAGTGTAAGGCAGGGCCACATGGTATGACTTTGCTTTATCTTGACTATTCCGTAAGACTTTTTGGGACAATTGTGTGATTTGATCGAAAAGTTCTTTCGATGATGAGTTATCCATGAAATTGTGCGCCGTTGAGGAAATGCTCATAGTTCTTTCTGTTGCCAAAGTAAGCATTATCAACATCCCGTGAGATGGAAGTAATTATCAAATATGCCCATGAAATTTATAAATAACTAATTGGCAAACCCGGCTCCGCCCGGCCCTGACAATAACATATTTGTAATCAGCATGCTCGATTACCCCCCTGTGCCAACTCCCAGCCCTGTAGCTCAGTTTTGGCAAAAAATCGATAAAATCGATATTGTTCGATAACGAAAAGTAGCCTATGACACGCTCCCTGCCCCGAAGTGTATGTGTGCCAAGTTTGGTCCAAATCGGTTCAGAAATAAAAATTTCTATTCCGCACATACGTACAGACAGACATACAGACACACATTCAGCTTTATGTACAAGATTTGAAATGTATCTTTATTATATGGTGGCATTTAGATTGGTGTCATATCAGCCTTCATAAATTCAAATCTCAAACTTGAACCTTTGGCTTACTCCATAACGTCTGCGAATTGCAAATGTATCGTTACCACACCGAAGCTAAAGCCAGGCGAGTGTCTTATCAATTCGAAATGTCGGATTGGATTGTTTAATGAGATGTTTCAGTTCTTGATGAGTCTGTGACACAAGGCGTGTTGAACATCGACAATAAGGAAGTGTTTGTGACGGATGGCGCTATCGAAGGTGCAAAATCACTATCGGATGAAGTTCGAGCTGTTTCAGACAGAGAACCGGTCTGTGAGAATGTTAACTTTCAAGGTGAGTGCTTGTGACGCGTTAGTGAAGTCGCTAATCGTGAGTGACATTAATAAGTACCCCTTTAAACTGGTTGAGCCTTAGTACTAGTCGTGCCCTTGTTAGAAATTTTTTGGGAACTTTCGAAACCAGTTGCTCCTTACTGGTGGAATCATGCTTTGATGATTTTGACTTTGTTTCATCTAAATGAGTAAGAGAACAAAATGACAAAGATTACAAAGGAAATAAATTAGAAGCAATTTTTTATTATAATTTTGGGATCGTTTTTGCAGATGTGCTTTGCTACGTATACACTTCGGGCACCACCGGCAATCCAAAACCTGCCGTCATCAAGCATTTCCGGTTTGTTTTATCACCTCTTTTTTTGAGATGAGGTTAGTGATTAGCGCTACACTAGCTGTGTGTAGCTCGAATGGTGAAAACACATTTCTTAATTGATGTGTTGCTGGCAATAACTAGCTTACACATCATTGTCACCAAAGTAAATTGCATTATTTTATTCTAGCAGGTCTTGCAGACTTTCTTGAAAACTTCTAACGTTGATTTATTGTGTTGAAGAAAAGTTGAGGTTAATGGTTTGTGCATGTAATAACTCATAGGATGCATGTAGGCGAATCTGTGTAAGGACTTTTTTTAATGAAAAGTTGGGTAGTCCTAACAAACTATTGCTCAAGCGGCAGCGTTTCATTTGGAGCTAAGCTCTCTCCCGGTTCGCTGCAAAGAGTACGGTCTGGACGAGAGCGTAGAGTTGTACTCTCTACCAAGAATGAAATCTGTGGGTTCTCTTCATTAATGGCCAATAGCTCAATCAAGTTCGCCCAAACAGCCCAACAGAAGACAGTCTATTTGGGATTTATGGACAAAAAGTTTTCGCATGTAGTCTGATTGCTTAAGAGTTGGGATCATTAGAATTTGAATCGTTCCAGTTTTTCCAAGATAATTCGTGTGACGAGACTGACTAGGCTTACAACATTGTTTTGCAGATTTTACTGGATGGCTATGGGAGCTTGCAAATCATTCCATATCACTGGTGATGATGTGATATACATAACAATGCCAATGTATCACTCAGCAGCTGGAATTATGGGTAAGTAGTGGTCATGGACTGCTTCTATCGCTCCATCAAGTGGCCAAATATGCTTTGATTCAGGTATTGGCACTGTAATTGTGTCTGGAACAACGGCTGTAATTCGTAAGAAATTTTCTGCAAGTAACTTCTGGAAGGACTGTGTCAAATTTGATTGTACTGCAAGCCAGTATATTGGAGAAATTTGCAGGTCAGTGTAGAGACTTAATTGCAAGTTTTCTTTTGCTTATGGAAAACTGAAGCTTCGCTTTTGCCGGTGTGATTGCTTTGGTTTGCTAGCTTCTTTTTTGGAAAAGATATTTTATGTATTGGAAGTTTCCACTCTCATAAAAGAAAAGGTGTTAAGAAATTTGCATATCGTTAACTGCGACAACTTTTTTGGTATGATGCTCTTATTGTTGGAATCTCGAATAATGCTTACGTTTATATAGCGCCCGAAGCGGTTTCACTAGCTACTCTATAAAATGTCTCAGACTCAGAATAAATGAATCCCTTGGAACATTGCGATTTTGCATATTTATACGTATTATTTATTGTCTGTTGCAGATACCTGCTCGCTCAAAAACCCTGTGAAGAAGAAAAGCAGCACAAAGTTCGCCTTATGTGGGGTAATGGCCTTCGAGCGGAGATTTGGAATGAGTTCGTGTCACGATTTGGTATAACGAGGATCGGAGAGTTGTATGGCTCTACTGAGGGCAATTCTAATATAGGTGAGGGAGTGAATAAATTGGAGATAACAAGTTTTTGGCATTTTGATTTCACAATTTTGACAAGTCTGGCAGATCTCTGGCACTCTCTTAATACTGAATTTTACAGTGAATATTGACAATCATATTGGATCTTGTGGATTTTTCCCAATTTACCCGTACATCACTGGACTTTATCCTATCCGACTCCTGAAAGTTGATCAAGAAACTGGAGAGCTTGTTCGAGATGCGGTGAGGCTTTCTTTGCAAAGTCTTTCCTCCAAGACTCGTTTTCTTTGTGATTTAGAACGGACTGTGCATCCCATGTTGCCCGGGTGAACTTGGTGAAATGGTTGGTGTGATAAGGAACAAAGACGTGCTTCTGAAGTTTGAAGGCTATGTAAACAAAGGTGATACACAGAAGAAAATCTATCGTGATGTGTTTGAACATGGCGATCAGGTGGGGATCATTCTTTACTCATTAGCAGTGTCCAGGCAAACTTGATATTCTTATGTAGAAATTAATTTGGGACTATTTACCAAAATATTGCCTAGGCGGCAGTTTATGTTCAGTTTTTCTGTTGTTCTTTTTTTCAACTGTGAGCAAAAAATTCAGTTGTAAGCTATGCAGAATGAGGTGCCGCTTGGGTAATGGCTTTGGCAAATAAGAAGCTCAAGTACTCAGTTTTGTGAAACGGGCTTTTTTCAGGTAGATCAAATCCACTTATTTTCCAGGTCTTTGCAAGTGGTGATATCTTATATTGGGATAAGCTAGGATATTTATATTTCAAAGACCGGCGCGGTGACACTTTCAGGTATTTTTCGAATATTCTTGTAAGATACTAGTTCAACCTGATTCGGACTTTCAGATGGAAAGGTGAGAACGTCTCTACGACGGAAGTTGAAGGAATTCTCCAACCGCTGATGAGTGTCGTCGATGCGACAGTGTACGGTGTGGAAGTAGGAAAGAATGAAGGTCGAGCTGGAATGGCGGCTGTGGTTCTTGCTGAAGGAATCGATGTTGAAGTGAGTATAAACTATTGAAAATTTGCGTTGCTTAAAAAACTGAATTTTATTCTCAGAAATTCTTGCTTGAAACAGCGAAGAGGCTAATAGCGAATCTTGCTGGTTATGCCATACCCGTATTTATTCGTCTTTGTAAGGAGGTGGATCGTACGGGTGAGTTTTGAGAAAATCTAATTTTCTCTATCGTCCTCTTTTGAACATCTCGCCATGCATTATTGTGTTACCACCATCACATCAGTCACTTTTCTGCCTTTTACTGCTGTTGATGATTTAAAAATCTATGGCTAGATCTGGAAACTTGCCAGGTAGAGAAGCAGTTAGAAAATGGTAAATTTTTTGGTTGCTGCAGCGGTAAGCCTTAACACGTAAGCTAGCATTGATTTATCCCTGAGATTAGAAAACCCTAAAAAAATACCTGGGATATCAACATTTGCTGTCATCAACGCATTGTGCATAAGCCGATGTCATTACTGTTCAAAGCAAATATGGAAGAGTCTTGGTTAAGACCAGAACATTCCATAAAAAAACTGAGTCCATCACATATAACATCATCTATCTATCTATCTAATATATAAAGAAACGTAAGCGCAATTCAAAAATCTGCAAATAGCGGCAAACCGCGTGGCGGTCCCAGCGCGCGGATGCAATCTAGCGCCTTTAATTAGTGGTCCACTACTATTTAGTGATATACTGCATTTATCTACTATATTCTCGTAAACTTTTCATTATTTTAGGTACGTTCAAGCTGAAAAAAATCGATCTCCAAAAACAAGGATTTGATCTGAAATTGTGTAAAGGAGATCCAGTGTACTACTGGAATGCTGCGGTGAAAGGATACTCGTTACTGGACGCAAAAATGCAGAACGATATAGAAACAGGCGTTTATAATCGACTTTAGACGAGTTCTCACCTCTCTGCCTTCAACCTCCGAGTATTGATACAGGTTATTATGCGATATATGTTGAGTATTCGTTTTGAAAAAGTGCACATTCTTTCGGATATCCACTATCGGTCCAAAGCTCGCTTTCTCTTATGCGTGTGATGTGCATTTTTCATCTTATGGCCTCATTTGCATTGTTTTTCTTTGAACCAGTCCTTCCCATATCATGCCAAGACCGCCATATACCTCAACAATTTACTTTTTATCTCTAATTTTTTATTGCGTTGTTTTGAATCGCTCAAATTGCCATTCCTACTTACATTCCGTGCCTTAATAAGTGATTTGCTCAGTATGTGACTTTAATATCAATGATTCGTAGCATTTCCCTCTTCTTATGCTGCAAATAGTGCAATAGAAAACTAGTATTCACACTAGTTATCGTTAGATTAGTAGGCAGTTTTTGTATGTCTGAGAATATTTCGTTTAGTCGTGTACAAACGGTGTGATAAAACCGTTACATGATATTTTTGTGACAAGAATGGTTTGCGTAGTTTTCGCAAACTACATTTGTTGAAAAGTTCTACTGCATTCAGTATCACTAAATTAGAGTTTCTCATTCCAGAAGGAATGCGATAGGAGAAGCTTCCGCATGTCAGTCTTCATCCAGGCAAGCATATAGTCCTTTACATCCCATGGTTATATAGTGCCGTTGCGGCGCCAACAATATTGTTCGTGAGTATGCTCTTGAGCACAAATTGCCATTTTTCACACATAGAATGTTGTCGGCAACCCAAGAAACACTATAATAGCATAGCCACCATTCTGCTTATCCACTCCTTGACTCCTTTGTTATTCAAGCTTGAGAAGGTGACTGACTATGACTGACTATGACTTACCAAAATTATATATTGAAAACGATAGGGAGATATTTATATACTTTCTTGAGATGCTACTAAGCTTTACTATGCTAATTTGTGTCTAGCAAAATTGTTCATCTGTTGGAGATCACCTAGTAACATGGGAACATTTTCCCTAGGAAAGTGCTCACAATGCAGATCATGCATCTTACTATTTTTTACCCCAAGAGTTTGCCTAGCGAATGATGACTTGTGTAGTTTGGCGTGTAATGCATTTCCAATTCTCGCATTCAGAATGTTTTCTTTTCTTACTCATAGTCATGATTAACTTGCTTTGTGAATGTGTGTGAGTTCTACATGGTGACGTCTGCGTCTGAAACAATTATTTTCGAGATCTTTCGTGGACATGATTCGTGGAGCTCAGTGCTGGTCTCCATAGTCGTGTTCCCTCAAGTTCTTTAGAACCAGATATCTTAATGGGGAAAAATTCTTTGGAAAATAAGACAAGTGGTCAGTTCACCAGTCTGGTGAAAAATTTTTTGATGAAAGACTTTCATTTCGATTGCATATTTGGAAAAGGTTATTCTAGTCAAACAATGAAATTTCCACAAGATCTAGCGTTTATGTAAAAAAATATGCAAATTTCAAAAGTTCTAATGGCACCGCTGGGTCAGTAGGATGGCACGTTATCGATTCCGGGCCTTTTGTACATACGTTCCGCGTTTGTTGGTGTTGGAGTTTCGATAGATCTGGAAGTTGATTACTGTAACTCGACTGGTGTACGGTAATCATAAAGGTGTCTGTAAATTGCACAGTCTTTACAGAAATTCGATAAGTAGCGGCGGCGGGCTCTATCACTCGCTAATGGTCAGCATCTCATAATTCTGACCAATCACGGTCAAAAACGCCTATCTCACTTGACCAATCAGCATTTAATCTTGACGACTTCTCAAATGACAACTCACTTATAGCTTGGCATCTGTGTCTGACTGAGTTCGGCAATTGAATGATGTGATACAGATCCTCTAAGTGGGGCCGGCAAGACTACCTCCTCCATTGGATCGGCAACGAATGGCCTGAATTAGGCAGCAAAGATCCCAAAAATTCTGATCTTTTTTGAAATAAGCAACTTTTCTGGTTCTTTTTTCTTTTCAGATAATTACATGTCTTGCGAAAGTCAGTATTTGAAAATTTATCGTATGTTTGTTTCATAAAAATGTGCCAGAATAATTTCTGGGCGAATAGACACACACGACAAGCAGGTTTGCGTAGCATGTAGTAACTGAAGCTTGTACTATACAACAGAAATAACTTACAAGTTTAGCGCTACTAGCTATTTCGTACAGCTTACTCTACTTAGCCTATGCTAGTCAACAGGATTATAGCTGGCAATTTGTTCAGTTTGCGACCTGTAGAAAGCATGCTGAGCTCGTTGAGGTGTGAGTGGCGGAGCCTCGGTCATGTCGAACGTGAGGGCCCGACTGATCTCGTCCTCGCTTCTCTGTACAATATGTCCTTCTTTCGGTAATGGTAGAGACTCTTCTTGCATCGGAGAAGGGATGAATTTTTCTGTAAGAACACATTCGCCACCAAACCTTCTAACTGGTTTTCATACCATTTTTTTGCTCTTGAAGGTTAGATGGAGAAAGCCAGTGGTGATAAGAATATGGAGATGTTTTTGCTTTTTTTTAAAGGAGGTCTAGGAAATAGCTTCCAATTTTTTCTGTTTTTCAGTTTGGTTAGCACTCAAGGTTAATGCACACAACACACGATTTTTAAATTTTCACCTGTGAATTCGGAGAAATCGAACAATTTTTGAGAAAAAGTTCATTTCAAGGCAACGACGCTGTTTACATTTGGAGTTGTTACGAAATTGTACAGTTATTATACAGCGAGCACCGGGAAAGTATATGGTAGAAATGGTTAAAGGAAATTATTAATAACAGTCAGGCAGGTGAGAAAATGGTAAGAGAAAGGGAGAGAAATCAATCAATATATAGGGCTAGCACAGCATGATAACAGGAAAGATATCGTAATGCTGCTAGGTTACTTGATATTTGAGTGAAATTTTCCTGGAGGGAAATAATAGAATTTTCCTACACTAGTTTCTGAAAGATGTCCTTGTTTCATTCGTATGCCTTTTTATCATTGTTTTTCTTTTCTATTGAAAAACAGTGCGAAACTGATGAATGTTGCGATAGCAGCAGTCAGCAGACGCGCCCTTCCGGTCCCGCTTTGTACGTGCTGCTTTCCAGAGTACGAAAATCAAGTTTTGCCAAGGCAATAAGCAAATCAAGGTGTCTGAGAGACACAAATTTCTGACAAGCGGAAATCGCACAGAATTGGCGTAAGAGTTGGATTGGAAGGTTATTTACAAGTAAATTGAGAAAATGCAGAAACATTCTTGAAGAAGGAATGATGTATATAAGTACTTTTTGGAACGAATCAAGTAATCTAGCAGCTGTTAATAAATGAAAGAAACACGGATTATAACATTTCTCGAGAGTCGGTTGATGCCGGCCTTTCGTACGTGATCTCCTGCTTGAAGCTCTCCTCAACTGTCTCGTGCACTCCATGTCGGACCATGGAGCCACCGTCGCTGGAGACAGTGACCCGCGAGCCGCCGACGTCCCGTACTCGTTCTCGATCGTAGGGCCGCGAAAAATCGCGACGAGCATCGCGAATCGCGATCTCTCGCGTCACTCCGCCACCATTTCCATCCCTACCAACGCCACCTCCATCGTACATTCCATTACCATACCCGCCAACATCGCGTCGTGACGGATAACCACGGTGGCTATCGCTGTGACTATATCGACTACCGTAACCACCGTATAGGTGGTCTGGTGTACTGTAGGTTTCCTGCTCGTGGACGAGTACTCCCCGATCGTCGGAATCTCGTCCTGTGCCATTATAACGTTGCGAGTGCAGAGCGGTGTAGCCTCCCTTCGATGCCGACTCGTCCCCCATATAGCCTGCTGCAATTCGAGTGAAAACCGCATGCACAGTAAAACTCATGCGATCATTAGACTGGAAGCTCATGGGCAATTATCGATCGTTAATCAATATACATGAATACTGATAAGTGGAATCTGTAAATGTTAGCGTAAAGTGCATTTCTCACCTTTTTTCGGTTTTTGTTTCCTTCGTTTGGCAAGCAGCCAGAGCAGTGTACCAAGGATAGCAAGTAGCAATACAGCGGCCAATATGATGAAAATTATCATTAGCCTGAATATTTGTATCTTACCAGTTTCATGCACAAGACCGATTATACAAAGCATTCCAAGAAATGTGGCGAATGTTTGATCCTCACGAACTCTCTTGTCTAAAAGCTTGCGCTATCAAGCAACATATTTTAGAACTGACTTGAGTTCACAGTTACAAAACATTTTTTCTCTTTTTAGGAAAACGGTAGGAACTTCATAAATAATGGCGCCACTGCAAATTACTTGACGTCAAAATTTGCACAATTTGTTTCGTGGTCTAGATTACAGAAAAGATTTTGAAAAGATTTTATAAATCACTATAGTTGATATGTTCGCTTTTGATGATTATTGCGCGTGCTGTTTCTTTGACATAGCTGACGAAATTTGAAATAGATGTCATGCAAAAATGCAGTACTTATGTCTACAACCTAATTTATTCAGTAAGGAAGGATTGAAACTCTTACAATTTTTGGACAAAATTCTTTCAAGAACTCTTACCGTAATCTTACAGTACTGAAGAGGGATTGACCCAATCTTCTGTTGTGAATCTTAGTTGAAGAATGGTCTACAACATGGTACCGAAAGGTTTGCGGAAGCTACTTGTAAGTGAATTATTGGCAATCATACGTTTTCCACATTTTTTGGGCAACCTCTTCTTCTGAGAGTAATTATTAACTCAAACCTAAGTGCCTCTATTTCATGGCACATACTAAGTGGCAATAAAGATGTTCCTGAGGACAATTTAGAAATTCATTAGAAAGTTTACATGGAAGATCCGGTTCTTGTAGAAGACTGAGTTAGAAGACTTTTTGTTTTGGCTTCGAGAGATACATACTTGCTCTTCAGTGAGTCTAGCAGATTGGATACAAACTTATAAAACTTTTTTGATCTAGTTTAGTTTTTAAGGGAAGCTTTTCTGCATAGATTGATTGTATGTAGCACTTTTCTTTGCCGCAGTTTCATTTTATTGTTTGCAAACGCTTTAGACACGTCGAATGCATTGAACGCTTATCAAACGAAATACGTGGGAATTGCAAGGTATTTTGTTTAGATAGCACGGAATTTTGCCAGAAACTATCCAAAATTCAGGTACATTATAGATCACTAACCATAGCGGAATAGTTGCATCCTCGGGAATACAGCATGTTCGCCCACAACACTCGAGATCATAGTCACATCTGTGAAATCACAAAATCAATAGGTTTTGGAAAAGAATCTGTGTGAAAATTGATCACAAACCGGAATTCGTAGCGTTCATTCTTGCCGACAACATCTCCCTCTTCGAAGATGCACTCTCGAAACGCTTTGGTATACCCTTCGTAAAGTATTCCTTTACTCTGATCCTGTAAGGCAATTTCCATGCCTAAAGTGTAACTGTTTGTTGTAGAACGCCGGTGCAAGCCAGAGTGCTAGTGCTGAGAGAGAGAGAGAAAAGCCGAGCCGAGAGATCAGGATCAGGATCGGGATCAGGATATTGAGGACTGGACTCGCCACGAGGGCTAGAGCCCCGCTAAATGAGGTAAAGTGAGTAATTCCGAGGTGTGGGTGGTGAGTTGAGAGTTGACAAAGTTCGATCGATGTTGTCACGCTGTAAAAGGTGAAGGGCGTGGCGCGAATCGCGACCGAAGCGACACATTTCCAATAGAAAAGACCAGTGGCAAACCCGTTCGAAGGGTGCGGCCACATCGATCTCTCAGTTCTCGCCCCTGCCCAATTCGCCATGGCACAAATCACTCATCGTGCGCACACCCCTGGTGCTCTTATCTGGGACGGGGTCTTCAAGGGTGTAGGGCGTAGGGTGGGACGAAAGGCACCAATGCAAAGTGAAAAATCAGTAGTAAACAGTTGAAGAATTCAGCATCTATAATACTTCGGAGAGGAGAGGCTTGGTCGGCCTAGGGCGGCTTTGAACCCTGGTCCCGCCGAATCATAGCGGCGCCCTATACCACTACGCTACGCGTCCCCCAATGAAAAAGTACAGCGAAATTTGCGGTCACCGCATTTTCGCACGCTTTTACTGTCCGACGGCCATTATGAAAAAAAATGAGTGAGACTAACGAGATTAAGGCCCAGCGTCAGCGCCACCAGAACTGTTAGGTCTACCTTTGCTGAATAATCGTCCACTGACACATTTCTGTCTAGCATTCATTGATTCGTTTTTTTTGCTGATTACTCATAATGCAGTAGCACAAGCATTTTTGACAATTTTATGAGAAGAATGTGAGATCTATAAGGTAGATTCAAACAGAGTCCCTCACGTCAAGCTAACTAACTAGAATAGGTAGATACAGTATTTTGCCTAGGCCAAACTTGAGATCGTAAAATTTGAGATCGTACATTTTCTGCTACAACTTTAAAAAATTGAACAGGGTATTTCGATGTAGACATCTCAGAAATAGTGGATCTTTTTGAGAATATATGGGTGACAAAATTGTTCAATATTGTTTCCTAAAGATACATTTTTTCTAAAGCTGAGAGACCTTGTTTTCACTAAATCTATGATTTTCAAGCATTCAGTTCCCTCAAAAACAATCAAAAATACCAACCAAACTTTATAACCATGTAATGTCGGAAATTTTGAACATTGTTGGGAGGTAATAAGCAGGAGAAAGGGTGCTAGGAAACTGCATAATAAATAGAATGATACCTATGTGCACTTGTTCTTTGTTTATGAAGATTTCTGTGAAAGGTATAAATGAAAACTAAAGACAAACATAAGATGCTAGCCTAGGTAAGAAAAGTTCTAAGTAAGGAGGTCATGGACTTGGGAAACTGAAGTGGAAAACTTTTGAGAAGTAGAAATAAGTGAAAGATTCAAGGCCATCTTTTTGAATTTAATCAGATTCAAAACAGAATCACACTTAAGCATCAAAATCTAGTCCAGTCACCATATCTGTCTTTTATTGGAGTACAGATGAGAGCCTTTCAACTGCTTCAGTTGCAGGTTGCGCGGTAGGCGATTTTATACAGAATCTTGAGCAATCAAGTAAAATGGTGATATTAGCCACACCGCTGCGTGTTTGCTTTTTTTCGAAAGAAAATCAAGCTGAGTCGGAGCATATAAAAAGTGCCTCCGCAACATAAACATATGAGTCGCAGAGACCTCTAGGGAAATGCTTGATGATTGCAAAGGTACGCGCGCCGGGCGGACCGGTCCCGGACAAACACACTTTCTGAGGTGGGCGAGGCAAGGAAATAGTGAGTGAAGTTTACGTTCTGCTTGCATTCAGTCAAAGATAAAGGAAACTGTTAAGCACAGAGATAACATCATGTCATTGTTGGTCCAAAAAATGACTAAACGAATCGCAGAACATTGATTGCCATGAAATTTTAAAACGGAAAATTTTTTTGAGCTAAAAAGAAAGCAGGATATAGATTCGACCTCATTTCGGTCAGATAGCAAATAAAGCCCAAAAACAAATGGGACGAAGTTTCAGTCACGCTCTGTTCACATTAGGAAAAGGTGTTTAGTACTATAGAAGTTCAAAAAAAAAGAGAGAGGACGAAAACGTAAAAAATATGATTTTAGAGATCCAGTTATTGCAGTAACAGTATTTACTAATTTTTTTTCATTTAGCAAACCAAAAGTTTATGTTGCTTATACGAGGAACTGAAAATACTGAACTATTCCAATCATTTTTGGTACAACAGCGATCAAATCGCTAGTAGTTATGATTTTGTGAACACTTCAACAGTTCATCGTTTAACATTTGTTGTTTGAACGGTAGTGAATTTCTATTGGAAAGGTTGTGTATAGAGGGCAGATGCTCAAAGATCATTGTGGAAACGTTTTCGGTCAGAAATTCCGGAAAATATATTGAAATCTCGAATATTGACTATAAATAAAGATGACGACAGCTAATATGTTAGCAGCATTTGAATGTGTGAATGAAAATGTGTACAAGACGCGGGTGTGTGTGTGATAGAAACACGTCTGGTCGGTTGATTACGGTCAGAATGAAACCGGAATCATCAACGAGAACTTAAGATGGGCAGGCCACCCTATTAGGCAAGACCTGAAAACATTGCCTTGGTGAATGTTGCTCGGCTCTTATGCGATGCAACTTAGATGGTACATAAAACATTTTCATGATGCGATTTCGCCCCGTAAATTTGATGCTTGACCCATCAGCGATGGGAAATTTCTCTTGAATGGAATGGTTAGTTTTGCGATATTGTCTAGTTCAAGATATTTTTCTCGCTCTACGAATGGTTAACCACAAGCCAAGGTTCTTATTAGTTTCTCTCATGATATTCATGATTTGATTCTGCTTAGTACTGATCCGGTAATGTGCCACGCAACCATTAAAGCTTGGGGAGTAAAAACTCCTCTCAGCGGTGCGAGTTCCCATTTGATGGTAATGCCTTGAAGACATATAATTTTGTAGTTTCTGATAAAAAATTCTCTCTGACTATTGATTGGTTACTCCGAGTAAAACTCTGGCGGTGCCAGGATAGGATTTCGGACCGGGGGGGGGGGGGAGGAGCGACAAAAATTTTTTCATAGTGAAGGTGCGTTGCGTTAGCCACGCACTTCAAGAAATTTTTGGGGTATTTCTGAAAACGCGGGCTCATACCCCTTCACGCCCCCGAAAATTTTTTTTACAAGTCTAGTTTGAATTTTTAAAAATCTTAAGAATTATTATAATTATTTACAAGTATAAACAAGTCACTTGCACATTTTCATAACCCATATAAGTAACTTCCAAAAACTTCGCGAACCGTTAAGGAACGTTAATTGCCGATGGGCTTCACCTGTGCGGGTAGCTGGTACGGACAGTAGGGTAGCTGCACGGTTTGTGGCAGATATCCGCGTAGGCGGAGTCTCTTGAAGACATTAGGTCTTCTGCCCGGAACTGAACTAGACTTGTCTAGATTGTGCGTAAATAACGCAAAGAATTTGTGACATAATTTTAAAGGAATCTAGAAAAAAAAACTCTTGAAACTGTTTAATTATCTTAATCATTTCACGTCTAATACAGCATATTAATTGTTGTTGTATCCAAACACCTGTCTAACAGAGTTCGCTTCGAGTGAATTTTGTCGATTCCGCTGCCATCGCACAATTGCTTGACATGCGCAGCCTCAGTGAGAGTGTGGCGGTATGACACGCTCATATGACAGAGCGAGAGGAAATGTGAAAGAAAAGTGCATCTCGTTTGAGAAAATCTCCTTAGCACTATGTTTACCTATCAGCCCAGTCACTTTCTTCTACAAACAAAGATAGACAAAGTAATAATCATGTATCATAGCCATTCGGTTTTTTTTGAACCGCAGCAAAATACAAACCATGGCTATTTTGTTGGTCGTGCACAAATGGCCAAAATGGAAAAAATTAGCACTTCTCAAGCTGCTGTGCTGCATAAGAATAACTAACTACACTTTCGTCAGTGCATCTTTCTACCAATATCAAGAGTGCGATTAGAGGGTTTGTGAAAATATTTTATAATTGTTTTCGAGCCTACTTGTTCTGCAGAGTTAGTCCGACATTAGGGCATATTAATGTCATTTTGTTTTCTTAATTTTTAGGACATGAGGAACGCTGGAGCTGGATTCGCCTACTTTAGAGTGATTCGCTTTAATGACCATAGTTGGTTCAGCAGCCAGTGGCTCTTTGAATGGGCGGGTCTAATTCAGCTTCTCTAGTTCTCCTTTTCAGACTGGAGAAGAATCTCAACAGCTTCTAGATTTGAAGCAAGAAAATTGCTAGAAACTAGAATGCTTAACTGCGTTTTACGTTCTTTACGCTGGGTATCACTTGATTATAGAATCAGGTTAACATATGCGGAGATTTCGGAGATAATCTTCAGCGGAAAGACCAATGGATACTTTTTGAGTTTCACTGTTAAATAAATAAGGATGTTATGAAGTAAAAATTCAGCTTTGCGTTGTACTTTTTATTACAAGACAGTACATTAACAGGAAAATTTTTGCCTCAGATCCAAATAGTGAAATCAATTATTTTGAGCTTCTCACTTCCGGTGATTTTATAAATAATATGCAAATCTTTCTCCTGTCATGGTATCACATCAAACAAGTTTAGCGTGATATCATGACCGTAATGCATACTAAAGCCAGAAGTTGAAGAAATCAGCTGTAGAAATGTTTTTTTGATCACAGAGCTTTTTTGAGGAGTTTCAGGTGAGACAAAATCTTTGCCGCTTTTGTAAACAATAGAAAATATGATGAGATCGGAACAATAGCTAAAAAGATTTTGGCCTATCTACTCCGACATCCTCTAATAACAGTAAATGTACATGTTCAAGATTCATGTATAAGAAAACACAACGCAAGAGCATGGACACGACAGACTCGCATTTGCTGCCACGGAGTTCTTGTTTGCTGACGAGCCTAGAGAAACGCAATGCAGACTCGAGTGCTCTCTTCGAGAAACAGTGCGAGAATTCCGGAGAGCACTCGGATAGTCCAAGCTTTGGTGAAAATAACTGAGTGCATGCGGCATCCTGAAGCAAGGTAAACGCTGGAAAAACTACTCCGAGCACTACTCCAGCTCAAAAGTGAAATCTAGAAATTTTCTTCCACCGCGCTGCGCG